TATGGAGACAAAGGAAGCTCACCTTAAGACGAAACATGGTTTCATTTTTGAGGTTAAGCTCTACAATGCAGTAAATCACACACATTCTTATTGTTCAAATTAGAGAGGACTGTGCAAGGCCTACGGATTTCACGAGGATACGAAAATAACCTACGATATTGGTCATAAATATGATCTTGAACATAATATCAACATTTGGGTGGATGTGGACATGATTCCAATTCTACCTCTATGTGAGTTTTTCAAACAAATTTGTTAAGTAATTTATATTGTTTATTTAAAATAGTTGGTATTCATCCTTACTAAACTTTTTTATTTATAATAGACACCTTATTTCCTTTCTCCAAGAAACACATGGAAGGCTGTTTTAACGCTCCGGACACACCCATCGGTGGTTGTTACTCATGTCGGGATCTAGACTGGCCCCATATATCTCTTTTCTGCGCACTTTATCCTCACTCGTGTGCACCCGGGAAAAGAAGGAATTCCTTATTGATATGAGTAGTCTATCATCCCTAATAAGCCAGACTATCACATACACCCCACTCAGAGGAACCAACGCCCTCGTCGAGCCACAGGAATGTTCCCTCTTGGCGCATACGTCTGTGCATCCAGTCCGGCACATGTGTCATGCCATGTGCCACCACGGGTCACAATCATCATGAACAACATGACCGCGCACCTGTCCGCAAACATCCGTGTAACCGCGAGGGTCAGCTCTGATACCAACTTGTAACGCCCCAGACACACCCACCGGTGGTCGTTACTCCTGGTGGGATCTAGACTGGCCCTACAGATCAACACTAGTCTTTTCTGCGCACTTTGTCCTTACTCGTGCGTACCTGGGAGCAACTTCTCGGTCGGTCACCCATCTGAAACTACTCCAAGATGAGCACGGTTAACTTTAGAGTTCTTTTCGAATGGGCTCCCGGAAAAGGAGGAATTCCTTATTGATATGAGTAGTCTATCATCCCTAATAAGCCAGGCTATCATAGCTGTAGACCAGACCTACTACGGTCATGTCTCATAGCTAACTTGGGAGGAGAAAAATTATCTTGTCTCCTTTGTTAATGATGTTGAGACTTTTAAGTTCCATTATGAATTTAGCCAACATTATAGTGGATACATGCCACTACTCCATGAGTTGAATGATGGTAACATTCGTGCAAATAGCATGGTAAGATTTTTTATTATTGTGCCACTAGTTCATCTTTTGCATACCTTCTTCTGTAGTAAACTACATTGCTAACTATGCTACTATTATGTTTTTCAACAGAAGCTCCCTAAGGATGTTGTGCCTCAGCTGATGTACACTGAACGTGAGATGAGTATTATTAGCTTACCGCCAAGTCCGCCTGTAGCTTTCCAAAGTGCATACTCAACTTGTCTGACAGATAAATGCCTCAAAATCAAAGGATGAAGAAAAGTAGTGGATGCGCACAGGCAACCAATCGGAGACATCATGAATGTGTGCAGGCCACAAATTGGAGATAGGCAGATCTCTATTCTCCATTTTGGAGACGGAGAGGTTTACCTGTTTTATTCTATTTTTCCTAAGAGAGAGGAGTAGGTCCTAGCTAGTACTTATCATGTGCTAGAATGATGATGAGTTATTTACCTAGGATGATAAGAATTAGTTAGTGTTGGTTAACTTGTCATGTGCTATATTGATGCTGAGTTATTACATGATTACGATGATGAGTTGTTATATGACGATGATGATGATGATGATGATGATGATGATGATGCCGTAGTACTTGTCATGTGCTAGAATGATGATGAGTTGTTATATGACTACAATGATGATGAGTTGTTATATCATTATGATAATGATGATTGTTATATCATTGGGGTGGAAGAAACACAGATTAGATTATTGCCTTCATTCGACACTTGTGTGCCGTCCCAAAATCATATCTTCCTACTAATTTAACATGGTCACTTGGATCCAACCACTTTAATCTAATTTATGTTTCTTCCACAACCTCTTTATTGCTACTATATAAAAAATTGTATAATGATGTATAAATACAACATAAATATAAATACGCATGAATATACTGACAAGGGGCAACAACCCACGTTCCTGCTATTTAGTAGTAGAGCTGGTCAAACCCCATGATGTTGCTATTTAGCAGTAGCAGTAGCATGGGGTAAGGCCCTTCCTACTCCTAACTATTAGCTGTAGCACCCTAGTAGTAGCGCGGGACCCCACACTACTGCTATCCCATTAATCCGTGCTACTACTAGGGAAGCCAGTGTTTTCACCTGCCCATCAGGAGGCCAGATAGGTTCATGTTGCTCGATTTAATATTGCCGTCTAGTGTTCATATTGCTCGATTGCACAATAAATCTACTGTTTTTATTAACCACCGCCCGTGCATCTGTTGCGCAACCTTAGAAGTTTATGGGGATAGCATGTCTCAATGACTTCAAATAGGTCCTCTTGCGTCATATGACTGTGTTCTTTGCCGAAATGGCATTGGAGAAACTCTATTTCATCTTCTTATAGAATGCCCTTTTGCACAGAAATGTTCGATTCATCTTGGCTTATTTATCAACCTAATGGCTGAACCATATGATATTTTGGGTAGTTTCAAACATCAGTTGCAAGTGCCCTCCTTCATGGAAGTCAATGTTCTTATGAGTTGGAGCATTTGGATGGGCAAGAGTGATTGGATTTTAAGGGGATCAACCCGTCTATGCAATCCTATTTGAGTACTTTCAAAATGCTTTGCACACAAGTCATTTTTAGAGTAAAACAGGTTTGAAAAATTCCAATGCATTGATGGCTAGAGCAGAAGTGTAATCTTTTTGAATTTTTTTCGTTTCCTGAACTTTTGTCTGTATTTTCCTGTTCCATATATCTAATATATAATCACTAGGGGACTTATCTCCTCCTGTTTTGTGAAAAATAGGGCCTATTAGACTTGAGCAAACAGGCCAGGCACATGACACTCTAACATCGGAAAAGTGTTGCTGTATTCTGTGACCATCAGGTGGTTTTGACACTAACCACAATCAATCCATGCCATGATGGCTGATGGCAGTAGTGGTGTCAAAATAATGCTACACCTGCTTCGTTAGGTGAGTAGAACCCCTTTGCCTGATAACTGAATATCTTTTCAAGAGTTGTGAGGTAAATCTACCTGTGAATCATGAGTGGCGTCACACAAGCCACACTTGACATAAAAAAGAGCTGTGAGGTAAATCTTGTAACATAATTTTCTGATGACTATCAGCTTCTGGAACAGAATGATAAATTTCCCAACTTTAGATTCGTCGTCAGAAGAAAAATATTGTGTCTTATGAGGTTTTCATACTTGATTGATCAGATGTGATGTACTCCTATTCCAGTAAGTATTTAAGTTCCCTGGGTACTTTTGATTTGGAAAAAAACCATGTTCTTTATGAGCTCTTCTATCCATTTGAAATCTGACTTAATCCCTGACTCGTTCATCTTGATCATATCTCTGATTCCAAGGTCCCATGCTTTTATTATCTTAGTTTCAGAAAGCCACTATAGATTCTTTAGCGTCAATTTCCCATGGAAACAATAACCTGCTTGCTCTACTAGTTCCATAAGACAGGTCAAACCGCCTATGACATCTCATGCCTAAGTGGTAGCACGGGAAAAATCCTTGGTATGATATTTTTCCTGAGTTCCATGCGGTTTCAAGAAGTAGAGACCTCGAAAACCATCTACAAATTTATCCAGTATTTGAGATTTCGTCTTTTCATGCTTACATAGAAAGAATACATATTTCTTTCTGTGAAAGTCTTTTACCAACTTGTTGATCTACAAGTGTTTTAAAATGAAACATATTTAGACTCAACCACTGAATGGAAGGAACAACAGAACACTGAGGCGGATCTAGAACCAAATTGTAGTATGGGCTGGTTTCCTCTTTCTTCCCTGCTCCTTCCATTATTTGTCGGCGATGGGTAGAAGGGCTGGAGCCCCACGCAAAATGCCAATAGCGGCCGCGCTGCAGGCAGGCCGCTATCTCTGGTCGTCGCTTTCCCATGTGGATCCGTGCTGCCAGTGTATACACCACGTATTTGATTTATTTTTGGCCCGTATTGGCCCAGCCATGGCCCACGCACATGCAGAAGGGACCTAGCCCTCAGAGGGAAAGCTGACATGTACTTGATGGGCGGCCTTCGTTTGGTACCTGTTCGGAGATGTGCGTGCATGCATGATTCGTAACAAGCGTTGGACATGGGCGACCACACGTTCAGCAAGTGATGACGTGGATCACTATCGTCCAGCCAACACACACTTTTCGCCCACATGTTTGTTACCAGGCACCAAGCATGTTTAACTGTTTCGACCATTTGACTTTGCTTGACACTTTTGACAGTATTACCAGCCAATTACAGATTCACAAAACAGTATCACAATCATGCCACGACATTTTTCATTTGTTCATCAAGTTAGAGAAAGTCGAACAAGTTTAGGCAGCATCATATGTTAGATCAGCGATTTTTCGCACAGAAAAAAAAATCGCCATCATGTTCACGTTTGTATGTTTACTCTAACCAAAACAACCCAATTAGCGGCCCTGATCTACACGAGGTACAGGTTTCGTGGAACAGCACACATCCGTGCAGGCCGGGTTGCTTTCCCCCGAGACGTCTCGTCAAGTAATTTACTACGCCCTCACATTACCCCTCGTCCTTGTCATCTACCTCCACCCACCTCAGGCAGAGGCAAGGCAAACACAGGTCTCTGTTCTTCGCCGCCCAAGGAGAATCCACCAGACGGACCAAGGCGGACGAAGAACCCCCTCGCCGTAGAGCTGGTCGACGGCGGCGAGGCTTGTCCTTCTCCGTCAGTCTGGCAGGGTAACATCCCAAGTAGGGCAAGAGGTACTCACCCGAATCACACTCCTAGCATTTAAATGTTTGATTGTAATGCTCGCTCGCCATTGTTCTTAGATCTTGCTTTCATTATCTAGGTTTTTCATTTAAGGGTGGATTAGTCGTAGAGGGCGAAGATGTCTGACTTATTTAGCGGGATCCAAGCAGCTATGGTTATCAATCGAGTAGAGAATAGTGAGCAGTCACCTGGAGATTGGAACAGCGACTGTGATGGATCCGGTGGTTCAACAGGTTTGACTGGCACCCCGTGCTTCACGTCCAGGTTTTCTTTGCTAAAAGTTGGATCGGTCATAGGCCAGTTTAGTGATTTTAAGCGGCAGTTAGTCAGGGAAACCGGTTTTGATGGAATGTTAGAGCTTAAATCATGGCAGAAGATCAGCCTTAAGTACAGCGCGTACCTAATGGACAGAGTTGATGTAGATTCCAGCATAATAAATCTAGAGGGCCAAGGTGTTCTTGAATTATGTGACCAGCACCTGAACTATGTCTTTGGCATCCCATGTGGAAATTCAGTCATACAAGGTGAAGGCATAGAGCCGTCTGAAGCATGTATTGAGTACACGCGTGTGGCTGCATCATTTAGCGAGAGAGGCACGCACAGTCTTAAAGCAGCTGAGGCGTACTTAATTCGAGACATAACAGAATCATCCCCTCAAATAGAGCAGGACTGTTTCAAAATTGCTTTTGTTATTTTTGTAGTCGGTCATGTGCTTGCCCCCACTGCTAAGCACGATTACATATCCATAGACTTCTGGGCTGCACTGAGTGATATCAGCAAGATAAAGGATTGGAATTGGGGAGGATATGTACTCAAGAATCTGTTCCAAGCTGTTAAGAAGTTCAATGCAGATGTGTCCAAGAGAAACCCAACCGTCCACATAGTTGGTTGTCATCTGTTCCTGCAGGTATTTTTGATCTGTTCCTTGGTCTTTCATGAAGTACATCTTTGCACATTCACATTATTCAGAATCGGCATGCTAATTTTTTTTGCTTACTGGTGTTTGTATCACAGCTTTTCGTACTAGACAGCCTTGATCTCGGTGTTCTAAACATGCTGCGAGATGTGACGCCGCGGATAGGTCTGTACGAATATGATTTGATGAAGAAGATGGTGGACAAAATTACAGTTAATGTTGGCGCCGGTGAAGTTTCCTACCACGGTGCAATGGTAATCACTCCCCCACACACGTGCTAAATATATTTTCAGTCTGCACATGCAATTATTTGTCATCCATGACATGCAATGACCATCTTCGCAACTCAACAGGTACGGACCGAGCTGTCAGTGAGCAATCTTATTGGCTTCCCTTCTAAGGAAACTTTCACAGCGAAAGCAGCAAAGCCGGCGCCCAGAAGGGCAAATGCCACATGCGCGCCGATGTTGCGAAGTAGTTATACCAAAACCGGGCCGCAGGAGTTTTCAAATTACATACGAACACGGTACCCAAGCATTGTAAGTCACTTCTATTCAGTTAAGAAAGCATTCACACATTTTGTAGCATCAACTTGTCACCCCTCGCATCTAACCCCATTTTTTATGTGTAACATATAGTCAGCGGAGATGCTTGGTATACTTCTGCGGGAGCAGAACGCCCGTGGCCTAGCAAGCATATCAGAAATGCGTCAAGTGTTCCAGTCCAATATGTTTACTTTCACAGACAAGCTTATGGCATGCTTAGCAGATAGTTGCACTTGTTGCAAGGCACATGGGAACAAAAAGTGCATCTTGGAAAAGGACGGCACAAACACTTGTGATGCACCGCCTCATGTACCAACTCACCAAACTCAATTCAGCACCCCATTAGTCAGCAAGATAGGTCCTCGACTACCAGCACCAGGCAACCCTGCAGGTAAACAATCCATCATGCTTACGTTTTCAACATTGAAATGCATATAAACGATTATCCAATCTCACACTACTCATTCTCCCTTGGCAGGTTGCCTATCTGCCAATAGTTCCGCGGCTAGGAAAAGGGATGGAAGTTTATCATCAAGCGTTCAGTCGGGCACAGCAAAGAAAACATGTTCACGTGAGGCGCAGAACGTCCTCGCCGCAACACCAACATATGGGCAAGAACCACTCAACCAAATTGCCATATCCCAGGATGCAAGCCTCAATGAAATTGCAAGCAAGATCGTTGCATTTTATGACGACCTTACAGCCATCCTGGTTACTTACTATGCTGAGATGTGGCCAGCCCCCGGGTTCATATTGTTTGGATCAACCACCGATGGAGCACATGTGAAGATCGATCTACCTCAATGCAATTTTGGAAGAGATCCGTGGGTAGCTGGATCAGTCCCAGTACCACCAAATCCAACTGTACTCAGGGCCATAAGAGACTGGATGACTGCAGCCTCGATGCTAAACCTTGAGAGGCAAGAACACATCCCCTGTGCATTAAAGATTTTACTGAATGCTCACAAGCATTTTTCGTCTTCTCATTTAGTAACTGCATCTTTCCAATCAAATCGCTGCAGGAAATGGATCATGCATCCTAAGCCAAAACTCATAGCATTAGAGGGGGTTGAAATCCAACGTCAACTTGCATCTAACGATGCAATGACCCATGAGATGGCTACAGCTATTTTCCGCGGGCTTGGCCAGATTGACTCGTTTTTCTCGAAGGACACTCCTGGACTGATATGGAGGAAATTCCTCGAGCCTGACTTTGCTGTGAGTATTTCCAGCACCTCCCCTTAATTCTCCACCCTTTTCTGTCTTGATGACAACCCCCCAAACTGCATATGTGCAGACAACTGTTTTGGCGAATGCCGACCCATTGACTGTACACTCAATTAGGGCTAGCTTCCAAGAAGGAACAACATCCTGCAATCCAGCTTCGTGCCGAATGGTAGGTGTTTTTAGCAGAGCTAGTGTCAATTTTTACGATCCCAACTCACTGATATGCCTATATATATGCAGTGGTACATCCCGACGATACTACCTGATTGTTGGACTGTATATGCATATGATATGCTGCGGAAAAGAATCATCGTATTCGACCCAACAGTTGGGCCATTTGGGTATAGCAATCGGCGAGTCAGCATGCATGAATTTGTTAGCAACAAACTGCATGCCGCGTTGTTCACATGCCTCCAGAATTTTTTCAGCTCTTGGCATTGTGAATCAAGCCACTGGGGGCGCACTTTTCGGATCATAATGAGGGAAAACATTGAGAAGTATGCACTTTGACTGTCGACCACCCGACCTTCATAATTAACAGATATATTTGTTTGGTTCTTTTAACTGTTATTATTGGCTTCTTCGTCCCTCCCAAATGCAGAGAGCAGACCGGGCTGTGCGCCACCTTTTTTGCATGGAATTATGACGGCGACAAACTGTAGACACCACTGAACAAAGTATGTTTCTAATTGGTCATACCGTATGGAAACTGCGTGCTTGTTTTTTTTGCTAATTCACACCATCTCTTCCTCCAGGACACGCTCGCATCACATAGCAGCTTGATGATCTACGAACTAATGAGGATGCAAGGCAACCAAACTCCAGTGGCAAACGACGCCCTTGAAGTTGTCAAAGGATCGTTCATTGCTCTTTAGAAAAACTTACCTTTCTTTGAACGTCCCTAACTATTGGAAAAACCTCTCTATCTGGTTTGTAACAATCATTTAGGACAGACCTGGACCAAAACTATGTCTGATTATCGACTCCCTCTTATTGTATCAGATGCGAATCTTTTTAGCATGGCTGGTAGAAGCAGAAGTTCATATGCAACTAGTATGAAATATATTAGAAGTTCATACATATTAGAGGTACAAGATAAACATCTTAGGAGACAAGCAATGTCAACTGCTCTACTACATCTGCTAGGGTTACAATTATCACATCTGGAGCACAAGCTTTCACATCTAGAACACAAGGCTTACACCTACTTGTGGATGAAGTTACAAGATTGTTGCTCCTAACCATAGAAGCACTTGTAACAGAATGCTGCCAGCAGCACGAACATTGCAAATGCCTTCACGTAGCCAGATCCTTGATTCAGAGCTAAATTATCTGTAGGAGCAGGAGCAACTTCTAGCTGGGGAGTTTGGTGTTGTGGCACTGCACTTGCTGCATCATGCAACTCTGAGCTGATCCTCTCTAACTGACGCACCCTGTCGCAGAGATCAATGATGAGTTGTTTGAGGAACGGTTCCTCAATGGGATCGTCATGCCACTCGTACATTTCACAACCTCCCATCTGACGGGAGTTGAGCACAAAAAAATGTCAGTGGGGAAGAACCAAGAATCAGCCAAGGCAGCAACCAAAAACGACAGTTATCAGGACACATACCCGCGACTTGGCGCATGTCTTGTATCTTCTCCCAGGGTTATCGTCGCTCCAGGAGATCCACATGGCAGCCTTGGGTTTCTCCTTGCACCAGCATGGCGTCGCAGGTTCATAGTCCAGTGGACCCACCCTGTATCTCACCGGCGACCTGCTTGGGGAGGCCCAACGCCTCTGGGATGAAGAAGCACACCTTGAGCTCGAAGAGAATGACGAAGACATTTGTTGGGGAGGATTTGATGCTGGTGGAGTGAAGCCCAACGGAGTGTAGGCGGCATGGCATGCTGTATATATAGCCAAGGGCTCCCACCAACGGTCACTTTTCGAAAGGAGTGGTGGGCAACGGCTCTCACCGGTGTTTTTCTAATTGTTTTGCATGGCAGGCCCGTCACGTGCCAATGGCACTCTTGCCAGCTTCCACGGTAATTCACGGATAGTAATATTAACATTTTCAAACCGCATAATTGCAGGCACGCTAAAACTTTGGCACACATCATTCTTAACAAACACTCACTAATCATAGCTTTCAATGGCTGGTACAGTTCCATGCCAAAATACTTACTAGGTTCAACACACGACACAGTGCAAAGCACATGACACAATGCATGGGCTTACAGAACTGTCAACAAGACAGTTACAAAAAGGGCAGAACAATTGATCCTCACGCTAGAGAATAAAACATGTCCTTGCCAGAAGCAGCTCCAAAAGCGCGACACGTCGACAGCAAGGAGTCCAGCGTTCTACTCCTCCTCCTCCACTTCCTCCATGAATCCCGGGTGAGCAGCCGTGTTTCCCGAACAGGCTAGTGTCTCATAGAGCATCCTCCTTCGACGCAGGGGAAGACCAACCTTTGGCACCACACGCGAGCAAAATGGTCAGTTGATCATTTTTTCATTATGAGCACTAATGCATCTACACAAAAAAGGTTACGTAGGTAGGTGGAATCTTACATGCGGAACGGGTTCCTCCAACTCATAAGCGTTGAAGTTGTCAGCATTGTATGCAATGTAGCCAGGCGATTCACCGCTACAAATCACAATACGATGAGGAAGTTGGTTAGCATCACACCTAGCAATAAAAAGCTTGAAATGATGTACACGTGCACCCACCTGCCGCAAGCTATGTGCATATCAATGTTGTACCGAACAGTCCATTTGGAGATATCCATGTCCCAGCCGTCCAACAACAAGGTGCCCAGGATTTTGAGTCCTTTAAGCAGCATGTGAACTGTTGACCCATGCTTCGACTCGTACACTGGGGATCCCACCTGTGTGTAGAACGGGTCCATCACTGTGACCCTGGTCAGCTCCATGTTGAAGGCGTACAGGGACCAATCGCGAGCAAGCCACACAGGGATCAAGATCTGCAGTGCATGCACGCAGTTTTAGTGTTCCAGCCATATAGAAGAAATGAAGATGCCGGTAGAAACGTAGGATTGTACGTACCAGACGGCACATGCATAGTGGGAAACCAAGCTTGGGCGTCGAAAGCAACCCAATGAGCACAACACGCGCGTGCTCAGTATCAATATTTTCCATGTGGAGCTGCAAAAAATACACGCATGCAAATCTATTAGCTTGAATCACCATTCACTCGCAGTCCATATCATTTTTTCTGCATGGGCTGAACTTACCGAAACATCAGGTGGTAGTAATCCTCTCCAGTTTGGGAGATCAACTCTCTGCATCATGCTCCTCTCCCTGTCGTTCCATCAACGCACCCATGCATCAAGGCCTGTGTACATCATCTCACCATGCAAGCTGAATTGGTACTTCATCTTATGCCCATCCAGCCTGAGCACCGTGGGGTTGTGATGCTCGAACCAAGTTCTGTTTAAGGACAAGAATTACTCACACGGTTAGCAGCAGCCAAGTTCACACTTTCAATATGCAAACGTGCAATCATTGGAAACAAACACACCTGCTGAGCTCAGACGGCTCAGTGAGGAGTGCAACATTCTCATACAAATCAACACATACGTGGTTTGGGTAAAACAAATGCTGCAGATCCAGCTCAAATGGAGAGTAGCCGTAATCACGTGCAGGTGGCAAAGCTGGAACAACCGCTGCAAGCACGTCAACACACATACGTTAGCTGGACGACTTTTAAATTGTTTGAACAAGTCAACCACATGTTTGCACTAACCAAGAGGGGCCGGCTTGCTTTGTTCCCCTACATGAGGCAGTGCCAACCTCCTGTTCCCTATTGGCGTGGTCGCGGCAATTCCTGCAGCCTGGTCATTTTGCAGTTGCAATGCATCCGGCACAACAGTTCCACAGATCAAAGAAGGATGAAGCTCTCATCATAAGCGAGGAACTTTTTTGTCACCGTCGAGGATTTAACTCATCGGGTTAACAACATTACCTTCAGTCAAATCAGTGTCAACAGGCGGCACCACCGGATGAAGCTCTTTAGACGAAGAACCTCCCACTCCCAGCACCTCATGCATGGTGGTCTGTCTAGTGCACCTACGGTACACCACTGTTTGCAAGATGGGCAAGGCACCCATGTGAGCGCATGCAAGCTATCTGATCATCAATGCATTTTTTTAACCATGTAAAGGATATCGTCACTCACCGTCAATAGCCGGCCCCTTGCCTTTGTGGTCCATAATCATAGGCTTCTCCTCTGGTTCATCAACTGGCCCGTGGACAGCAATTTCTGCATACAAAATCAAGGCACACTCAATTTAGTTTAGTACCCTCACACAATCAAGTTAACTTCGAGATCGTCAGTCATTGTCACTACCTTTCCCAAGCAAACTCACATGCACCCCAAGGCATGTGTTCAGGTCAGGTCCTTGCACCTTCGTGGTTGCAGCGGCCACACCAGGCATTTCTGAAAAGAACATGCAACAAAATGGTGATCAGATTTTTTGTGGCCAACCAATGCTTTTTTGGAAAACTATTTGGTTTTTTTTGAGGGGTACTACGCACCTGGTTGGACACGTATCGCCTCTTTAACAACAACCACTGACATCAAAGACCTCGCAGCTTCGCGTGAAGATTCAGCCAGATCTTGGGCAACATCTAAGTAATAAACAAGAACAAAATCAGCATGACAATCAAATGACAATCAGTATTGTTTCGCATGGCTTTCGAACAATCAACCAAAAACACAACCCCACCGCGACCTGGGGTCCATGGCTCACGCACACCATGCATGGATGGCCCATGTATGTCATGCATGCAGGAGTAAACAAACCCGTGCCTAGCTCTCGCCCATGCATGCATGCTCTCCCCGCGCACATCAACACACTACCTAATTAACACAATTTAACAGTTGCGTTTTTGATGGCTTGGGATAAAGATCACCTGTCCTCGTCCTTGGACGATGCGAACTCTTGCTCACGTTAGGAAATGCTGCTGCCATTGGAGCTTGTCTCTTCACCCGCTCCATGAAATCATCAAGTGTGTCCTCGAGGTCTCTGTGTCGTTTAGTAAGATAATACTGAACCGGGACTTGATATGTACTTCAATGAAAATAACATCTTATAATGTAGCTTTCATCGTAGGGCTTGAACCCACGTCCACAAGGTTAAGAGCTTTGTGCTTTACCAACTAATCAATGGATCCTTCAATATTATGGACGAAAACTTGTGTATCTTGAATTGTTGACAGGAGCAATAGGTAGCCCCCAAGGGCCGGCTCGTTATAATATGATGAGTCGGGTCTTTAATAAGACTAGTAAAAATGACTTTGCATTAGCCCTCAAGTGTTATGGTGCATGCTTGCAGCGACATGAGACTTGCATGTAATCTCAATTTGAATAATGTAGCCCCCAAGTGCCGGGTTGTAAGCCTGTAGCGACTCGGGGCTATTTCTTCCATTGTAGAATAAATCATATCCTTTGATAACATAATATTGGTTATTAACAACCATAAAAATCCAGCCATGTTGGCTATTCAAGATAATATAATCCAACGATTTATAAGCGCATGATTCCAATGGCACAATTCAAATATATATACTGGCGACTTATAGTCCAAAGCCAGGCCGGTTTAACAAACATGTCTCTGCATACAACAAGTTTAAAGTGTCCTAGCGGTTTACCGCC